TCTGAATACTTAACTACTTAAATTAAAGTATTGTCCCTTACAGGGTGATTAATGATTCGGCAGATCTTTTTTGGTCAAAGTAGGTATTTCCACCGAACAAAAATAGCTGAAATACCGAAAAAAAAAAATCACCGTCAAAGTTTCTCAATATTTGATATCGTATAGTACTCGATGTACTCGATCAAAATTCTTATTGGTAAAATTACATCCTATGACTAGTTTTCCAAATATAACCTAATATGTACCAAATATATGAATTTTAAACAAAAAAAAATATACTGACATAAGTAGATATGTTTCAGAGATATACTGAATATTAGATAATTTGATACACTGTGTTGGATTAGAAATATACCCCTTGTACTATTTGAGGGCAGCCAAAATTATTTCCTAGTTACAGAGTGATTGCGGTTGAATATGTAAGGTGAAAAAATCAACAAAATGTTGAAATTGTTGGCATAAAATAGAAAATAATTGCCTTTTAACTTTGGAGTTTATCAAAAAAATCTTATTAGTTCACATACAGAATCATACATTATTTCATTACAAAAAAAAATTCGTTATACGGTAGGTCTAAGTAGGAATTAGGGGAATGAATAATTATCGGATTACATGGTTATTTTGACAGGAGCATTGGCTCTTTATATTGCCTCTTTATGTATATTTATATCAGATTGAGAACTCATCTGACAATCTATGTCTTAGTTTAACAAGGAAAGCAAGTAAAGCTTTTCGAGCAATGCTTCTTAAGTTAACATAATATTGTTCTATTGCTTCACAAAATATAACAAGTAAATACCAAATAAATGAATTTTAAACAATAAATATATACTGACATAAGTAGATATTTTCAAAAGAAATATTTTATATTAAATATTTTGACACACTGTGTTTAGATTAGGAATATAACCCTTGTATTATTTGGAAACAGACAAAAATTTCGTACTTACAGGGTGATTGCGGTTGAATATATACGATAAAAAAGTCAACAAAATGTTGAAATTGTTGCCAAAGAATAGAAAACAATTACCTTGTGAGTTGCTCATCAAAAAGATATTATAAGTCCACATACAGGGTCATACTTTATTCAGGTACAAAGAAGTTGATTATACGGTAGGTCTAAGTAGGATGTAGAAAAATTATGATCGGATTACAGGTTTATTTGGCTAGAGTATTGTCGTAAGTGCCTATTTGTATTGTATATTTAAATAAGATTATAAGCTCCATTCCACGCCACCAATGAGGTTAAGCCCCCAATACATTTTGTTTTAAGTCGCGTCCCCTAAAAGATGGTTACAGTTGAACTTGCAAGGTGAAAAAATCAACAATATATAAAATTATTGCCAAATATTAGAAAATAAATTGCTTGTGAGTTCTTTATTGAAAAATGAATATAAATATACACACATTAATATTTTAAATAGGCAATAACAAACTTTGTCAAACTAACATAGTTTTTTAATAACTAGAAATTAAAAACATTTAATGAATCCTCAGAATAAAGTAGTCAATGAGCAGAAAAATCTGTGAAATTATCAACTTCTTAACTGTCTTCTGATTAATTGCGAGTTTTCTTCTATGAAATCCATTGAGTAATAGTTAGGCACACAATGAAGTATAAATGTCATATCTACTTATTGGTACACATTCATATAAGAAATAGTATTTTCATGTTATTGGTCATTCAAATATTTAAAATAAGTCAAGCAGCTATATTATTCTAATTTTCACGAAACAATTGTTGATATTTTTATAGTTTACAGCTTACATGTTCCTCTCTTGATTTTTCAAGGGTTTCTCAAAACAATATGATATGAATACAGGGTAATAAAATATTCGTAATTTTCGAATCACCGGTCTCTTTTTATATTGTCATTATGTAAAGGCATGCAAGTCGTTTTGTTAAGTATTTAATGATTATAATGCCATAAATATTTAAACTTGGAAATATAGTTATTCTTTAACATCCTGTAACTCCGTAATTTTCACTTCAGACGTAAAGTGTTGTAATCGACGCAACCAAGGCATTTTAAATCGGTTTTGGTCTGGTACCGTGTTAAGAATCACCCTGCATATTCGTAATGCTAAAATATAAAGCTTAAGACTGCCTGCATGCCTGAAGTTTTACTTTTTTATATCTACTGTGATAATATATAATTTTTTCGAAGATTTTCACAAAAATTGATTACCATGTATATTTTGTAACCTATGAGTTTTAGACGATTGATAGATTTTGTTAGTAAATTCTAAAAAGTGGTGAATATCCCAAAAACCTTATAGGATATAAAAACATTCTTACACTTGATTTATATATATTCATGATTAAATATTTTCCGAATAATTGAACATCCATCTATTGCTGACTTTTATAATAAATGACGTCTGTATTATTTTAAGTGAGCATTAGACCGTTCTGTATTAGTGTTTTAAATAAATATTGTTGCAAGTATGGCGTCTACAAATAGGATAAGCTGTTATATTTGCAATAGACACTTTTAACTTCGACTCACTATTCGTTCAAACAAAGACAATAATATAGATGTGCTTAACGTTGCTAATTTAAGAAGACAAGCTGTCGGACATCCTGCAATCGATAATCTACAAGGAGTAAGATTATGTTTAAACTGTTATCACGCAATTACACAGGAACCTAGAAATATTAAAAATGATCCAAATGGCCTAAGATTTAATGTTTTAACACCCCACTCAGTTCGTGGTTGTATAATTTATAACGCACAAGTAAATGAAAGAAAACTATCGGCAGTATGCAGAGCAAATATTTTTTTAGTTTCAAATATTTATGTACCCGAATATCTGAAGATTTTTGTGACATTCATCTAAATCAGCCATACTTAACCTGCAGCCCGCGGGCCTCATGCGGCTCTCCAAGCTGTTGTGTTCGGCCCTCCAAGCTTTTTTGTGCAGCCCCAAACACGATTATTAGTAACTGAAATGGTTGAGCTACAGTCCTGTATTAAAACAACATGGGGACCTTTTTTTTAGAAAATATTTAAAGCGGATCCCTATCTTCACCCATTGTCCTTTATTTGCATTTCAAAAAGGTGGCAACTTTAGTTATCACCCAAAAATATTGTGGCCCGTGTAACATAACAAACAAATTTATTTGGCCCGAAAGAAATAAAGGTTGAGTACAGCTGATCTAAATCTTCAAGTTTACTAATGATTAATTTACATGCTAGTTTGCGTGTTGTTTATAGACCATTTTTCCTCGTTAATTTAAGAGCGGCTGCTACTGCTAATAATAATTTAAAAATTGGGAAGACAAAAATTATTTTAGTTTAGAAGAATTTAAATATTTAACTTCAATTTCTAAACAGAATTTGCAAGTATTATATGAATTTGGTGAACCAATAAAACAATATGGTAACTTAACAAACATTGCTCAAAAAGGTTTACTTGCGTTCCTTGTTAAACTAAAACATGGATTGTCAGATGAGTTCCCAATCTGATACAAATATACATAGAGAGGCAATATAAAGAGCCAATGCTTCAGTCAAAATAAACATTTAATCCGATCGTTATTCATTTCCCTAAATCCTACTTAGACCTACCGTATAACGAACTTTTTTTGTAATGAAATAATGTATGACTCTGTATGTGAACTAATAAGATTTTTTTGATAAACAACTCCAAAGTTAAAAGACAATTATTTTCTATTTTTTGCCAACAATTTCAACATTTTGTTGATTTTTTCACCTTACATATTCAAATGCAATCATTCTGTAACTACGAAATAATTTTGGCTGCCTCAAATAGTACAAGGGGTAATAAGGGGTATATTTCTAATCCAACACAGTGTGTCAAATTATCTAACATACAGTATTTCTCTGAAACATATCTACTTATGTCAGTGTATTTATTGTTTAAAATTCATTTATTTGGTACACATTAAGTTATATTTGAAAAACTAGTCAGGATCTAATTTTACCAATAAGAATTTTGAACGAGTACATCGAGTACTATACGATATCAAATATTGAGAAACTTTGACGGTGATTTTTTTTTTCGGTATTTCAGCTATTTTTGTTCGGTGGAAATACCTACTTTGACCAAAAAAGATCTGCCGAATCATTAATCACCCTGTAAGGGACAATATTTTAATTAAAGTAGTTAAGTATGTATTTTGACTATACAGAATGAGCAAATAACTTCCAAATATATTTAAGGGTGATTTATGGTGTCCATTTTAAAGAATTAGAGATTTCTAACTTCAACACCCTGTATCTCAAAATCTAGTCATAGGATACGATTGGGCCCATGGACACTTTTGATGGGGACATCAAGTAATTTAACACATAAAAAATCAGACATTTTGACGGTACTTCCGTTTGCATAAGAAAAGTGCGTGGTCCTTTATTTTTTTAATAAATGTTCATCCATTTTACAAATGCCAAAAAATCTCTTGTAGTTATCAGATATTATAATTATCTACTTTAAACTTTATTTAAGCACGTTTATTATTTAGATTTTTTGCATACAATGTTGCTGTTGATAATGTCGCTTTTTTTTTTAATTTTATAAAATTAAGATTTCATTTATGAGATTAACATCATAAATTGTATAAAAATAATCCTTAAGTTTGCGCTCGACAATAAAAACAATTGTTTAAATAGATATTTTTTTTTGTTTTTATCTTTCTAAATATTGTTTATTTTGTACATGCATTGTACTTGCAACAATGTTATAATCATGTATTGTTAATTCTAAAAGATTAACATTTCATTCTAGAGATTAATATCTTAAATTGTGTAATAATTCTTAAGTATGCACTTACCTCTGAAAACAATTGTTTAAACAGGTTTTTTTTTCTTAAATTCTAAAATAATATTTATTTTGCACATGCATTGTACTTGCTACAATGTTGTAATCATATATTGTTAAATGTTTATTTTTTTCATTTAATTTCCATTGGTTTTTGTAGATAATATATACATATATATGGGTATTCGGTTATCCAAAATTAATTCAGTTTAAATAATATCTAACATTAGTTCAGTTATTAAGTTCAATTACTAAATTTTTATAATGTTAGTTATAGTATTTTTGGTGATGCTTCATAAGACAGTGGGGCATGTAGTTGGTAATGTAGAAACCTATCCACATTTAAATAGTCCCACACATAGTTGCAAAGTATATGAAGACGAGATAGACTTTTTGCGATCAAAAGTGACTTTCTGTGAACGAGCTAGACAAAATAGTATAAATGATTGTTTTAAAAGCCAAAGAAAAATGGAAGCTGATCTGGAAAGTAGTGATTCAGTTTGTTTGAAGCAGCATACAACAATTTTAAAACAAAAAGACCTATTGACAGAAAAAATAACAAGTTTAGCATTTGAAAATGTACAAAAGACCAACGAGATCAATGAATTTACACAAGCGTATGAAGCAACAGAGGATGAAATAAGTAGATTGAATAAACTTTTGAAAGATAGTCAACATCGTCTACGAAAATGTAGGATTGCAAAAAAAAAATTGGAAGTTGAGATTAAGCAGTTAAAGAGTATGATAAAAGTATGATAATAGTACTGGGGAATCTTTTATATGTTAATTTCGTATTCAAATTTACACTTAGGTGTTGTATTCAGGGAAATCTGTTGAAATATATATTAAATAAACCTTATGAGTTTAAATTTATATTTAACCTTTTAATACTATTTTCTCAAACTTTTTGGATGTATATATTTTAAATTTCATTTTTATTTTTTTCTTTTTACAATACATATTTAAATGCATTTGATTGATATTGAATGTAAAAAGTCTTTACAATAATACATAGGCGTAGAACTTGATTTTTTAAATAATTGCACCTTTAAAAATTCTACGCCAATGGAAGAAAAGGTTTTTGAGTATGAAATTTAGATTGCGCAACTCATTTACTTTAAAAAAAGTACTCTTGATAAGACTCGATTACTCTCATGGTTTTGACGAAATTTGCATTTTAGTAATTTTAGAACATAAACAATAATTATTAAAATACAAACTTTGTCAAAACCATGAAAGTAAATCGAGTGTTATCAAGGGTACTTTTTTGTAGTAAATGAGTACCCAATCCAAATTTCATACTCAAACCCCTTTTCTGCCATTGACGTAGAATTTTTAAAGGTGCAATTATTTAAAAAATCAAGTTCTACGCCTATGTATTATTATCGGACAAAATTTTATACGATGAAAAACATAAAAATGTACTTTTTTCATATCTTCTTCAACACCTCTAATCGAGACTTTTAACAAAAATACTCGATTCTTGCCATGTACGATTTTTGAGGAATATTAATTATTTGCCTGCAATACGTATACAAAAATATTTATTGTTGGTTTCCATAGTTTCATTTAAATAAAAATATTGTCAAGTTTTAATACCTAATGGGGTCTATTCTGTAACAATTCCTTTATATTTAACGGCCTTTAAAAATATTGGCGGCCTTAAAAATATTTTCGTATTCGTTAATTTACTTCTGCCATTATTTAAACAGATTTCTTTTAGATAGTCCTCTAATGTATTTTAAAGATCCGTTTAAATAATGACATAAGTAAAGAAGAAAATATTTTTAAAGGCCGTTAAATATAAAGGAATTGTTACAGAATAGACCCCAATCTCTTGTTAACGATTGAAAGTATTCTATCTGACTCAATAATTAAAAAACAAATTCGTGGTTTATTAATATGGCTGTACAATATACCAATTCAGAATATACCGGTATGTTACTGACATTAGGATTTTGTGAAGGAAATGCTCGAGAGAGTGTCAGGGTGTACTCTGAAAGGTTTCCAAATCGTCGTGTACCTAGCCACCCAACTTTTGCTGCTGTTGAGGGACGTCTTCGGGAGATCGGTTCCTTTGCTCCCAACACTGTTGATAATGGAAGAGAACGTTTTGTAAGGATTCCTGAAGTTGAAGAAGACATTTTAGAACGTGTTGAAGTAGATCCAGAATTAAGCACCAGACGAATTGGAAGGGAACTAGGAGTAAGTAAAGATGTCGTTCGTAAAGTGCTTGGAAAACAATTGCTATATCCATACCATAAGAAGCCAGTACAAGAATTATTAGTCCATGATCCTCAAATTGGTTTGGGTTTTTGTCGATTTGTTAATATGCAAAGAGAAAGAGATCCAAACTTTGTCAAGAAGGTTCTCTTTACCGATGAAGCGGGTTTTACAAGAAGAGGTATAACTAATACCCATAATGAACATGTTTATGCCGTTGAAAATCCGCATGCAATAAAAGTAAACCATTTTCAGCACGAATTCAAAATTAATGTGTGGGCTGGAATAATTGGTAATTTCATTGTTGGTCCTGTCATACTTCCATGAAGAATAACTGGAGAAAATTATTTGGATTTTCTACAAAATACGTTGCCAGAATTGTTAGAAGATTTACCTCTCCAACTTCGGAGAGATATGTGGTTTATGCAAGATGGAGCTCAACCACATTTTTCTTTAAATGTTAGAAACCACTTGAATGAACAATATCCACACAAATGGATAGGCAGAGGTAATGACGCACCTGTAAACTAGCCACCACGTTCCCCAGACCTAACACCGATGGATTACTTTTTATGGGGACATCTGAAATCCACAGTTTACAGGGAACCTGTAGAAAATGAGGAACAACTCTGGCAACGTATTCAAGATGCAATAAACAATCTTAGAGGTGATGAAGAAGTTATGGAGAGGATACATTTTAATTTTCTTTGACGTATAAATCTTTGTATGCGTGAAAATGGTAAACATTTTGAACAATTTTTGTAAAATCTCTATTTTGATTATGTTGTAAATAAATATTTTTGTGAAACCTATAGGTACACTCTAAATTATTAAAACAGAAATTTAGCGAAAACCATGAGTGTAATCGAGTCTTATCAAGAGTACCTCTTTTAAAGTAAATGAGTTGCGCAATCTAAATTTCATACTCAAACTCCTTTTCTTCTATTGGCGTAGAATTTTTAAAGGTGCAATTAATTAAAAAATCAAGTTCTACGCCTATGTATTATTATCGGACAAAATTTTAATACCATTTTTTTTGCCACATAAAACTCTACCAATATACCAAATTTCAGCAAAATCGCATGTGCTGTTTTAAATTTATATGGGAAAAACGATTTAAAAATTGTAACTTCAAGGCCCTCTGAAGCCCAAACGAAGCAACTTTGTACAAAGGTAATTTTACTTAAATCGCCTTATTTTGGTCTAAGGAATATGTAGTATGTTTTTGTAAAGACCTTTTACAGACACCCTGTATATATATTTCTTAAGTATTTATCAAAAAACTTATGATGAAGGTTAGAAATAATATATTTAATGTTACATCAAATACTTTATTAGAAATGTATAAGGCAGTTTAAAATTATCGCCATTTAATCTGAGTTAAATCAAATATTTGTTTAAAAAAAATATGCTATATTAACTGCGATTGTGATTGCAACTGTAGTATCTCGATGGAGTCCATAGGGTTAGTTTATTTATATATATTTTTTTAAACTATATTTTACAACATATGTTTTAGTTTTTTTCAAAAAATTGGTGAGTTGGAGTACTCCAACTCGCCAATTGGCAAAAGGTGGGTGTTTTCCGAGGGCATTCATCCTATAATAGAAAAAATCTGATGTGTCCAACACATGACTTTCCTATCTAGTTATTACAGGCTTTTTCCGGTTATTTTGTACAACCTATTGCAGCATCTCTATAAATGTTTAGAGGATAAACTAAATATATACATTGTCCATATACATCTACCGCGAAACATTTTTCTATAGATATTCATTGAAAATGAAAATACTGAAAAATTTAAATTTAGCACTTTTCCTACAATTTTTCCATATTATAGAGATCGATATCGCAAACAACTTTTATTTCAACAATTTTCATAAAAATCAGAATTTTGCACATTTTGTCAAATTTTTCGAATACGGACCATTTCAGGAAATTTTTACATAAAACAAAAATTATAGATAATAATATTAGAAGTAACTTTTATTTGAACAATTTTTTTCTCCAAACATAAATAACAGATATATTCCATAAAATATAAAAACGGCCTCCCATAAAGTACCCCCCCAGATGTTCCGACTTTGTCCAAAATCTAATCATTTCACGTCAGGCCGAAATAAAACTTAAGTTTAAAATTTAATGTTTTTTTCTTTATCCGTTTTTGAGTTTTCTTCAATTTCGAAATTTACACATTTTCTCAAATATCTCGAATACGGTCCATTTTAGAGAAATTATCTATAGGATAAAAATTATAGAGAATTAAATTACAAACAACTTTTGTTTAAACAATTTTTATAAAAAAAAATATTTTTTTACATTTTGTCAAATTTCGCGAATACGGACCATTTTAGGAAAATTTTGTATATAACAAAAATTATAGATAATAAAATAAGAAGTAACTTTCATTTGAAGAATTTTCTTCCCCAAACGTAGATATATTCCATAAAATATAATGACCACCCATAAAGTACCCCCCCAGATGTTCCGACTCTGCCCAAAATGTAATCAGCTCATAAGACGCTGAAAAAAAGCTTAAGTTTAAAATTTGGTGTTTTTCCGTGTATCGGTTCATGAGTTATGCGTTACACACACACACACACACACACACACACACACACACACACACACACACACACACACACACACACACACACACACACACACACACACACACACACACACACACACACACACACACACACACACACACACACACACACACACACACACACACACACACACACACACACACACACACACACACACACACACACACACACACACACACACACACACACACACACACACACACACACACACACACACACACACACACACACACACACACACACACACACACACACACACACACACACACACACACACACACACACACACACACACACACACACACACACACACACACACACACACACACACACACACACACACACACACACACACACACACACACACACACACACACACACACACACACACACACACACACACACACACACACACACACACACACACACACACACACACACACACACACACACACACACACACACACACACACACACACACACACACACACACACACACACACACACACACACACACACACACACACACACACACACACACACACACACACACACACACACACACACACACACACACACACACACACACACACACACACACACACACACACACACACACACACACACACACACACACACACACACACACACACACACACACACACACACACACACACACACACACACACACACACACACACACACACACACACACACACACACACACACACACACACACACACACACACACACACACACACACACACACACACACACACACACACACACACACACACACACACACACACACACACACACACACACACACACACACACACACACACACACACACACACACACACACACACACACACACACACACACACACACACACACACACACACACACACACACACACACACACACACACACACACACACACACACACACACACACACACACACACACACACACACACACACACACACACACACACACACACACACACACACACACACACACACACACACACACACACACACACACACACACACACACACACACACACACACACACACACACACACACACACACACACACACACACACACACACACACACACACACACACACACACACACACACAC